TTTGAGTTCTGCAGAGATCTCTGCCCATCTGCTGTCGGGATTCTGATACAACAGTCGAATGATTCCGGACCTGGTCACGCAGACCAAACCTGCCTTATTGACTGGATGGAACGGGCCGATCGGGCGACGTCGAAATGGCGAGTATGCCCAGCGTCCCTGCACCTTTGCCGCTTGATAGAAGGAATGCACCTGTACGACAGTGAGCCGAGGGTCCAGGAAGGTCTGCAGATCGGCGAATACGCACCGTGCGTTGGGTGTTCAACCACATCATACCCACTATTTGAGCACCGTCATCATCAGGATCGAAAGCTGCTTGACGATGACCAGCAATGCTGTTGAGTGCAATTGAAATTGAGTAGATGGATACCCTTCCTGAAGAATCTGCTACCGCCAGTTCGGCCCCTGGCTCATTCCAGCACAGATGAACCAAGGTGTGCCCTCCATGAGCATCGGTGACTGGCAGTAGAGGGGTTTCCTCACTGAGGACCCATTTTCCGTCTGAGGGTCGACACTGGAGATGGCGGACATTGACTCTCAGACCGTCCTGGGAGATGTATGCAATACATCCGAGTTTTGACCATGCAATCTTCCTGATGTAACGTTAGTTTTGGTGCCATGCTTGTAAACTCGCAAGCTTAAATCCCGATACTTACTGACAACAACCTATCAGTCTCATTTCATCTAAGCGTTGTGCAAGACCTCTAGGAGAGGTAGTAGACGGGGACAAACCCAGCTCGAGGGAGCCGGGCTCTCCAAACAAATCGTCAACATTGATGCCGTCTTCCATGATCAAGGGCATTTTGAACAGGTATTGTGTCTTGATCTACAACAATCGATGACGAGGTACAGTTTCAGAGAAGTGACAGCACCATCATTATCCTTCAGGCATTAGAAGTGATGGCCTGCGAGACCGGAGAACCCGTTCCAACGTGCGCGATATCCAGACGATCAAATGCGCAAGGTGACCATGAATTCTACCTAATCAGGAAAAATTCAACAATGTCATATCAACGAGTTCTTTGCCATGATGATGATTTTTCACCTTATCATTAAGCCTTTGTCTCTCGCTTCTTCTATCAGTAGCATCATCACAGTTCGTTCTCCACATCCATTCAACTAATCAAGCTGATCAAGCTGATCAGTCATCAGTCATGTGATGTCATGTGGGCCAATCTCCCGGCCAACCGCTCAACCTGCCATGATTGGCGCGTCCGACACTATATCGAGGAATACAACACAAAAGCCCTTCAGAACGTCGGCGAGCTCGGTAGAAAATCCATCCTCACTTTGATCTACACATTCTAATATATGTGATGGGATATGTGTCTTCAAGTTAATAGTGCTCGTTTGGATACTCTGAACATGGCATATCGTGCGATCTGAAGAGAAAACGGCAACTGCCCAACTTTATAGCGTATCTACCTGTTGACAATGCTAGAGTTTGAAGGACAGTCTTTTACAGCCACATATTGCAAGATACAAGAAAACCCAGTATTCTTGCAACGAAATGATTCAAACTTGGTAGATATTGAAGCCTTGGAAGCTGACCTGATACCTCATGTCTTGAGCCTTCAAGAGTGTGGCCCCAGGCATCTTATAAGGTTGACCAATAAGACTGCAGCAATCAAGGACGGGAACAATCAGCCTAAAACTCTGCAATACCTCTAAAATCATCATAACAATAATGCATCAATACCACCAGAATCATCTCGTCATAAAGTGAATGAGAATCCAGCTAGCAGTGAATGGATGAGATGCCTCTTAATTGATGTTATCTAATGCAGCAAGCTTTCAGACACCTCTACTGGTTTCATCGAACTGCAGTAGACCAAGTCCCCTATGTTGTAGATAGTCTGGTAGATATCCTTTGCTCCGTCTTAGCCACAAGACCCGTTCCTTTCCCTTGCCAAAGAACCCTTAACTACTACCACGAAGACAATGACGATCTCCATTGCCGTCGGATGATACCTTATATATTGCTACTACTACCAACCCTTCACGTCGCCAACAGCCAACAGCAACATTCCTTCTGACATACCACCTGTTGCTCTTCGACCCTGGTCAACCCTAACGGCGGTTTCAATAGCCTTGGTCCATGATTCCTTTCCACCACGTCCAATCCCACCAACGTCTGATCCATTATTTGACTAGATCATCGGCGGTGCTTCTTCCCGTCGTCTCTCCCCGTGGGTCAGTCAAAATAAACACAACCATCCGCACCAAGCGAGAGGCACCAGACAGACAGACGGAGTCTTTCCCAGAAACAATCTTTCTTCCACCACAACACCAACCACTTCTTCCTCCTATGGATTAGGTTGTGGTTATTCACTCTCCCCTGCTTCATCATTCTCGCCTGCTCTTTCTATTTCCCGTCTACATTAATCCCTCGGCCCTCTTTTCTCCTTGAATTTCTCTCCGTCAATTACTCTTAATTCCCAGCCAAAAGCTGGTTCGACTCTTTCTGAGGCGAGATTCTGATTTTTCTCCGGATTACTTTACCTCAATTACGTGTTCCATCTTTCCCATGATCGTATCTCAGGGCAACTTCTAGCTTTTCCCTGAAAAGCTCCTCTTTCTTCCTATCGCCCTTCTCCTTCTTTCTCTACGTATTTTCCTCAAGAAATACGTGAATCATCACAGCTCTCATGGCGCCGTATCCTCCCTCTTCCACCACCACCGCTTCCTCCTTAACCACCTCATCATCTACCTCTTCCTCACAGGCCTCTACAATCTCAGACGAGAGGTGGAATCCTAAATTCATGGATGATTTCGACCTTTCAGAGCTTTCAGAGCTGAGCTCTCCGCCAGCATCCCCTCAATCCCCTCCGAGCTTCATTCCCTCGCCGCCTCCATCTCAAGACGCGGGCGAGTCGTCTAGCGCCGCACGCGGCCAAGACGGCCTCTCCCCCGCCAGAAAGAAGCGTCGCGTAGCCACACCAAAAGAGCGCACCACACAACACCTCGATCTGTCAAGGGATTCAGGGCTCAGTTTTGGGGAACAGCAGGCGCAGGTTGATTTACTAGTCAAAACTCTTCGTCGTCACCGCAAGATTGTCGTCATCGCGGGTGCTGGTATCTCCACGTCTGCAGGCAGTATGCACTTCCTTCAGCCTCATGGTGGATGACAGAAGAACAAACACGCTGATTGGCTGACCTATGATTATAGTTCCTGACTTTCGCTCTACTGATGGCCTCTTCAAATCCCTCCAGAAGAAACACAACCTCAAAGCTTCCGGCAAGCTTCTGTTCGACGCTGCCGTCTACCAGGATGAGTCCTTGACCGCCTCCTTTCAGGATATGGTGCGGTCGCTGTCGGAAGAGGCGGCCAAGACCTGCCCGACCGCGTTCCACCACATGCTCGCTCGTCTGGCACAGGAGAACCGACTCACACGACTGTACACTCAGAATATCGATGGTATTGAGACATCAATGCCACCTCTGGCAACCCAGATTCCTCTGAACGTAAAGGCACCCTGGCCGCGCACGATCCAGTTGCACGGAAGCCTCGACAAAATGGTCTGCCAAAAGTGCCGTCATCTTCTCGATTTCGACCGGGAAATGTTCAATAGGCCTGACGCTCCCGAATGCCCCGAGTGCTCAAAGAATAACCAATTTCGCATCGAGACCGGACAGCGCAGTCATGGAATTGGCAAGATGCGACCGCGGATTGTGCTGTACAACGAGCACAACCCGGACGAGGAGGCGATTACTTCGGTCATGAACGCAGATATCCGGTCACGACCGGACGCCCTGATCGTGGTCGGCACCAGTCTGAAAATCCCTGGCGTACGTCGCCTGGCGAAGAGCCTCTGTTCCGTGATCCGCACGCGTCGCAACGGCGTCACCATGTGGATCAACAACGAGCCGCCTGCCGGCAAGGAGTTCGAAGACTGCTGGGATTTGATGGTGAAGGGCGACTGTGAAGAAGTAGCACGGCTCGCCGGTCTGAAACGGTGGGATGACGATTCCGAGGACGTGTTCGACGAGTGCAACTCCTCCGAAGTCGAGCGGGTGAAGAAGGAACAAGGTGCTGTATCCATTGTCATCCGAACGCCGAAGAAGAAACAGAAGACGCAGACAGGAATTCTTACGCCTTCCTCTAGCCACGACGAGGAGTCAGCAGAACTGCGACATAAGCACCCATCAAACGGCAGCTCTCTCAGTAATCCCGCCAGCCGGGGACGCAGTCTCAAAGATGTGCTCCACAAGGCGAAAGCCGGCGAACCCAAGAAAGCCGCGCCGAAAAAGAGTGCGCCCAAGAGGCGAGGCAAGAAAGTCGAGCCTGCGCACAATGCAAAGATCACCGCCTTCAGCAAAGTCACCAAAACCGCGAGGGCTGCGACTGGCGATGCTGGCAAATCCGTCAAACTGGAGAAGGATGATGCGAAACCGATGCACCCACTTCCGCCTGGTGCGGCGCGCATTAACGGGCCTCTCTTCCCTAACCTGGTCGGTAAAGGAAACACTTCTCCGTGCGGTGGACTCTGGAGCAACCCTGACACGATTTCTCCCAAATCGGTTCCGAAGGGAATGAAGGATCTGCTCAATCCTCCAAGTCCGTGATGTTTCCAGTTCAAGTTTGACCTTTCTGTACTATTATTTTCTGAACTGAGGACGACGGACGACCGATCCCTCAGATGTTGTTCGCGGATACCACTGATAGACTATGTTGCATATTTGGCGTTGGGTATGGGGATGACTTTGAATTCGATGCAGGTCTTGCATTGAGGCTGAATAGTCGATGGATGGTCATGCGGTTGGATTATCCTGTATTTCTTACTGTATACTCTACGGGATCATGATGCTTACTGGACGCATGCGATGATGCGGTTGTTCGTACACCGGCGTTGGTGATATTGCTCCTATTCACTTGACAGCTCAGATGAGCTACTGAAATAATCCGTGTCAATGGCACGAGTTCATCTGTATACGTGGTGCTCATTAAATCAGTATTCATTGCGTAGTCTGATGTTTCCTTTTAAGCAAAGCATTTCCTGTATCTATCCCAAACCCAGCCCACTCTGCAGCTGCATCCCAGGCCCCGACTCGTCTTCGCTCTCTGTCTCATCCGCAGCATCAGGATCCATCGTCCGCCTCGGTCGCGAATCGCGATCCAGATCTTCCACTCGATCAATGTCCTCTTCTTGTGTCTCATCTTCATCCTCATCCTCGTCATCATCCCCGTCCTCGTCCTCCTCGTCTTCCTCAATTTCCTCCTCATGCTCCAACCCCTGCTCCTGTTCCTCCTGCGTATCATCGTCGTCTTCCTCCTCCCCAGCCTGAGCACTAGACGACCCCTCCTCAACACGCTTCACCCTCTTCGCCTCACGCACCGCGCTCTCCTCATCATCTTCCTGGGTTTGCTGCACAGCCCCAGCCTCATCACCACCCCCTGCCCCAGACTTCCTCCCCTTCCGCTTTCCGGCCTTCATCTCCGTAAAGACCTCCAACTCCTTCTCAAGCTTAGGCTGGAACGCCTCCAATTCCAGCTCGGATAGCGCAGAAAACACGTCCGCGGGTGTAACCGTCCGTTTGAGCGTCGCCTCGTTCGCGCTACATTCGTCAGCATGGCACTCGTCCCAGCCCACGTCACATGAAGATTAAGGGCTGAAAAGGAAGAAGAAAAGAAAAGACGTACTGCGAAGCAAGATACGACACAAATACCGTCGCAGCCTTCTGGATCGCTAGCACCGCATCTTTCTGGATGGCTGTGTTGGGGGGTAGGACCGCTTTCGCTAGTCGGAGGGTGAGCGATCGCGGGAGGAGGTAGTCCTGCATACACTTATCAATATTTCTGTAATTGTAGCGAATCGAGATGAGTTGCATTATGGTTATGGTACCTCGATACTCACGCCCTCGGCACGAGCTTTAAGCTGCTGCTCTGTTGCTTGGACGTTCTGGACTGGGGAGGTCTGCGTCTGCGGTTGCGGCGAGGGGCCGTCTGTGTCGGTTTGGGTGTCGGTGGATTTCCGGGTAGGCATTTTTGCTTGTCGCTTGCTTGCTTTGCTGTTTAGCAGTGCATCGAGTGGTTCTGTGAGGTGCTGCTGGTGATTGATTGTGGTGAGTAGTCAACTTCTGCTGTGGTTGATAGCTTGAGGTGGATGACGCGAAAAGTCCGCGGACGCGAGGGTTGGCGCGTGGCGAGCTTTATCTGACTTGACTTGACCGTTGCGTAGTGTCGACGAAGACACTCTATACAGTACTGTGTGCACTTGATAGTGTGTGCTTGAGCTGGTTTGTAGCGTCTAGGGGAATATCGTTTTTTAGAAATTATTTGGGAGAGCAGAGTTAGAAGACTCCCTGGCAGGACTTATTACAGTGTGCAGCTATAAATATATTTTTGCGGACCACCTTCGCACACTTTTGAGTTGCTGACCACTCGCCAAATTGCATCGAGAGAAATCGGGATTATCTACCAAGTGTTCCACGTAGGTCAAGACGTAAAGTAACACGGCATGAGCGAGCGCCTTTATGTGAATTGGGAGGAAGTTGTATCTCTACGGGTTTGCTACAGTACTGAATGTCCTAGATGCTCACATCGAAGATATTTATGTAGAGACCTGGTCTACAGATGGCCATTGCAGGATGCCCAGGATGCGGAAATGATCATGAATGTGGTAGAATCCCAGATATTGTTATCTATCTAACGTACTGTCCAAAGGAAGACTCAAGAACCGGGACAACGCCTTTTTGGTATCCATGAATAACTGAATGAACTGAAGAAAGAAAAGACCGTTCTCGTCGTACCGCCTACTCCGCCATCTCCTCGTCGTCACCCTCGCCATTACCCCAGAGTCCCTCGATCTTGAACTCCGCGGCCCACTCGGTGACAATCTGTTTCGTGTCGACACCCGACTCGACAGGGGCAGACGAGCCACCCTGGGCAGTCGTCACGACAGAAGGAAGGACGGGAGCGGTGGCCCAGCCCTGGATGCGTCCGTCTCTCCAGTCGTTGATCACAGTCATGGCGGCGCTCTCAAGATTTGGTACACCGCCCTTGCCGAGACGACCGCGTTTGCGAGCGACCTGGATTAAGAAGTCGGTGGTCTGATCGTTGCCCGACGGGAAGAGCGGCGGGATGTTGTAAAGTTGGAGCATCTTGGACATGAGCTGCTCGGATGAGGACAGACGTCTGAGGAGCAGACTGACGGCGGGGATGGGGTCCTCAATCTGCTTGGGAGGGACGGCATTGAGCAGGACCAGGCGAGCATGCTCGTCCTTCTTGCTCTTGCTCTTCTTCTTATCGCTGGAGTTGGGGAAGACAATACCGGGCGAATCAATGAGTTTGAGCTTGCTGTCCAGCTTCACCTGTCTCAGACTGGTGGTCACGCCAGCCTCGGCGCCAGTGGGGCATGCATTGCTCGAGCCCTTGTTGAGACGAGCAGTCAGGGCATTGATGACGGACGACTTGCCCACGTTGGGGTAACCGATGATGCCGACTGAGATGGACCGCTTCAGCTGCTTGTTGGCCGCGTAGGACTTGAGGGCGCGGAAGAGCGTCTCCGAGGTGCCCTTGACGGTCAGCTGCTTGTGGTCGAAGGTGTGTGCGTTGGCCGAACCATTGGCCGCCTTGAGCGGCAGCGTGGGGAAGGATCGTCGCAAGTGCAGCAGCCAGCCCTTGAGCACAGGAGGGGGGACCAGATCGATTTTGTTCAGAATCAGGATAAGTCTCTTGGAGCCTCCGTCTGCAGCCATCACTTCACGCTCGACCTCCTTCGACCGGGTGCCTTCCGGATCACGAGCATCGAGCACGTACAAGATCACATCCGCAGCCTCAACGACCTGCTTGAACACCTTGTCGAACGCCCGCCTTGAGTTTTCTTTCGAGATGGGTTGTGAGACAAGCTCGGGGATATTCTCGCCTAGCGTAGCGCCGCCTTCTTCCTCGTCTTCGTCCATGCCGTCCACATCATCATCATCCTCGTCGTCCTCGTCCATCTCGTCATCCTCATCACTCTCATCACCATGTTCGTCCTCATACTCGGCGGCCCGCGCACGGGCAGAGGCAAGCAGAGCAGCCATGGGGTTTGACGAGTCAAGATCATCCTCATCCATATCCTCATCGATCTCGTCATCGTCGATCATAGCGTTGGGGACAGATTCTCCATCCTGTGACTGCTGCTTCTCGGCCATTCGTCGAGCACGTGCTTCCTCCTTGAGACGCTGTTGCTCCTCCGCCTTCAATCTCTTCTTTTCTTCGATCTCATGAAGAATCTTGTCCTTGAATGGGAACAGATTGGGGATGCCGGGATCCTTCTTGACCTTGGAGCGCCATTCGGGGTTCTACCAAAAAGACGTCAGTCTCCTCTATCAATGTCGCGGACCACAGGAAGCGAATTACCTTCTTCGCAAGCTTTCTCGCCTTCCGTTGCTTCGCTGCCGCAGCTTTCTCAATCTTGTGTCGTAGGCGGACGGGCGTCCGCTTCGAATTCTTGCCTGTACTTGACAATCAGCGACCATATTCATTGACTAACTGAAGGAAAATCATACCGAAATTATTCTTGACCATCTTGACAGACTACAGACACAGCCCGTCTGAAAATGCACTCCAGGAAAGAAGACGACAAAAGTTCTCCAGATAAGCGGCCCAGATCCTCTTCAGATATTTTTTGCAAACTTGGGCGGCGCCAAGATTTCACCGCGCTAAGATAACCGGACTATCTCTTGTGCCGATCACCGGTCCGCGACGCTGGAGACACCGGGTTGGCGGGGTTTGGAGTAGATATAGATCCTCCATAGAGATGCTATCATTTGTACAGAATCTTCTCGACGTTCGTTGTGTTGTATAGTCGTTCGTTATAGTCTGTACAGTTGCTTACAGTTACGCGTTGTGACATTCCATCTACATTCAAGAATCACTTTCTCTCAACTATTTATCTATCAACTCTCAGCCCATCATGTCTTCCGAAGGCTCATTTTCTGCCCCTCCACAAGTCCACACTTTTGACGGACTCTTGTCTGATTTCGATGGAACAATAGTTGACTCGACGGATGGTTAGTGCTCCTCAAACTATGTTGCGGTGTCTCTCTAACGACATATCCGGGATCAGCGATCGTCAAGCACTGGCACAAGTAAGTCAGATATACAACTACCTACGAACCTGTCACTAAGTACGGTCAGAACCGGCGACGAGCTAGGCGTGGACCCCAAGGCCATTCTCGCTACATCCCACGGCCGAAGAAGTATCGATGTCATCAAGCTGTATGACCCCTCCAAGGCCAACTGGGAATGTAAGTATTCGCCCTACGCTATCTACCAACAATCGACCCGACACCCAAGCTGACACACAGCCTCCGACAGACGTCAGCTACATTGAAGGTCGCATCCCCAAAGAGTACGGCTCCGATGCCGTCGAGATCCCTGGCGCTAGAACCCTCCTCAACGCACTGGACGAGTCCGGCGCACGCTGGGGCGTCGTGACGTCCGGCACACGCGCTCTAGTCGACGGCTGGCTGGGTGTCCTCAACCTCACACATCCCAAGGTGCTGGTTGTGGCGGAGGACGTCGAGCTGGGTAAGCCCGATCCCCGGTGCTACCTGCTTGGCCGGTCACGGCTGGACCTGGAGCACTCCTCGTCCCTGGTGGTGCTGGAAGACGCGCCCTCGGGTATCCGGGCGGGCAAGGCCGCCGGGTTCAAGGTGATTGCGCTGACGACGACGCACACTCTCGAGCAGTGTCGGGAGGCCGGGGCGGATTGGGTTGTGGAGGACTTGAGGAGCATTTCAGTGAAGGGTGTCGAGGACGGGAAGCTTCAGTTGGAAATCAGGAATGCGTTTCAATAAAGGGTGAACAGGAGGGGCAAGACCTCACATGGAGTCCAATAGAGGGGTCAATGGTCTAGTCTTCTTGCCAATCTTTTCTGCTTTGTATATAGAATGGTTTACAGAGGAAATATTATAGAAAGATAGTACGGTACTTACAAATATTCACCACTTTCGAGGGAGATATTTTTGCTGCCAGCTTTAAGTGTCTGACTAATATGACAGGTAGGTACTATAGTGCCGGGAGTCCATGCCTTGCATCGCACTGATCAGAGATGTTGTGCCATTCGCGAATGGGCCACAAAGCCCCAATGACAAATCATCGGCCTTGATGAACGGTTCTAGTGAAGCCAGACCATTTGAACTTTGAAACTTTACTCCCGGAGATCATCCACCGAGTACCTAGCCGAGCGGACCGATCTGGGATCGGTTTACACCGTACGAGCCTATATTGACTGTTGGCCTAGAAACAAACACAGAAATCCGGTAGAAAAAGCGCCCTGAACCCCTTCCTAACACTGATGAGCTTAAGATCCACCATAAACCCACCGACTCCTGGCGGTGAAGACCTTGCGTTATGGAGTCTGTCGGACGATTCTCTGACCAAGTACAGTAGTATTGCTCATAGTGTTAGCTTCACCTGTGCTGAGAGGACACTCACCGTGATGGCAGACTCTTCACCGCTTCACGGATCATGCTCTCGGTCTGATATGTCTCAAGTGAGCAGATTTAAAACCGCGCACTTCCATAAGATAACTAGAACAGACAACGCTAGCGCGTATCTAGATAGCAGAAGCATGACGCTGGGGCTCTGCCAGAGTAAGCTTGCAGCTGCAGGTATGTACAGCATTCATCGGCATGCTCACCGACACCCTCAAGTCCAGGAGGAGCTCATGGAGAAGACAGGATGGGCTGCAAGCGACAGCTCATTGCATGAACGGGGTTGCAGCATGCAGATAGGTCAAAATCCAAGCCAGATCCCGCATCTAGGCTTGCCTGTGGCTTGTTGTAGCTTCTTTTGCCGTTCGAAATAGTTTCCACACGAGCGGACTGCAGTAAAGGAGTCGATAGAAGGAGGCAATCGAGTTCTGGAAACTGGGGAGTCGATCGGTCTTGGCCGTTCTAGTGCCAGAAATCTGATATGTATCATTTCACCCGTTTCTTCCGCAAAGAGAGATCGAAAAGTGGCGCTTTAACTCAAGAGTTGGGTCTGATATGG